GCTTAAGCGCTCAGAGCTGGGGGTGAGCGAGCCCCTGTCAATCAGGGGGTGCGGACACGCTCCTCTGCCTCCCCAAACCACCTGCATTCGGGGCGGGCGCCCCCCGGCCCCTCTCCCTCCCAAAACAGAGCATCCCACCGCCCGGGTCCGCTGCACGGCGGGGAGCTGCAATTAGCGGTGCCGGGTGCCTGGGCAGCACCTGGCCACTCGCCACTGGCCCTCGGCCACCTCCCGGGCTCGTCGCCTGCCGCCGCGCAGATGTCAGGCACCAGCATCGCCCGGCGCTGCCAGCACAGCCGGCCTGGCTGGCACCGCCTGACGGGGACCTGCTGGCGCCGGCCGAGCGCGGCCGCTTCTGCTCACGGGGACGTGCAAGGAGCGAGGGGCACGGGTATGGGATGTTGGCTACCTAACGGGGGGGGCCAGAGCCAGCTAGGGGGGGTGCAATGGGGGAAAATCTGATCAATATTACAGCTGCGGTGTGGGAAAACGCCATGAGGTTTTAGGGGGAAGCTCTGTCACCGGAGCGGGACTGGCAGCACATCCCTACCTGGGGTGCTCGGGGCGGTGCTCAGGCTCAGGCTGGCTCGGGGTGCGCCCCATGTCGAGGTGCTGTTCTAGGACTTGTTGTCGAAACTCTGAGACTTGGGACTGCCGATCTTCCTTCTCCTGGCGCAGCCGGCGCTGCCGGGCCAGCCACTTCTCCTCCTCGTTGGTGCGGTGGATGAGCAGCGCCGTGGCCGCGCTGCTCCCCGGCAGCGGGAACACGTTGTGGTTGGGGATGAGGCTGGGCACGGGGTGGTGCGAGGCTGGTGGCTGGTGCAGCGGGTGCTGGATGGGCTTTGGCGTCGGCAGCACCGAGTCCTTGAGTTTCTCTGAGTTGGAAAAGGAGTGCCGGAGAGTCAGGGAGTGGAAAGCCGGGGGGATACCCGCGACCATCGTTGGCTATCAGGGTCTTTTGGGGTGCAAAGGGTGTCCCCCCCACCGCAGGGGCATGCCTGCAGGCAGGAGGCACCCGGAGCTCCCCTGCCTGCGCGGCATGGAGGGGCTGCCTGCTTGCTGCCAGCCCAGCTGCCAGGCGTGCCGTGGCACCGGGCGCGTTGCCGCCCCGGGCCCAGTCAGATGGCACAGGCACCGCGCCGCCTCCTCGAGAGCCGCGGCAGCTGGGCTTTTGGCAAGCGAGCTGGCAGCCGAGAGAGCCCAGCTCCACCCCGAGCTGCCTCCCGCAGCCTCCGACCCCCTCGGCTTTGCCATCTGGAGGGGAAAGGGGACCGTGGCAAGCTGTGCCTGAAGGCGGTGGCCCCCCCGCAGCGTCACCCGTGGGGACGTTACCTGCTCTGCCGGGCGCCAGCGGCTCCACGGGCTTGCCCCGCTCCTCGGCCGGGTGCCCCCGCAGCCCGTGCAGCTCGGCCACGGGGAGGAAGGGCCCCTCCATGGCTTTCACCATGCTGAGCTCCTTCTCCCGGGCGCGCTCCCGCTGCCTCTCCAGCTCCCGTTCTCGCTCCTTCTCCCGCTCCCGCTCCAGCTCTTTCTCACGTTCCCGCTCCCGTTCTCGTTCCTTCTCTCGCTCCCGCTCGCGCTCCCGCTCCCTCTGCCGCAGCTCTTCATCCATTTGCAGCCTGCAAAGAAAAGCCAAAAAAAAAAAAAGAAAAAACCCACCAACCTCCAAACAACCCCCTCAAGATGCCTGTACCCACCCGCCACCATCGTCCCCCTCCCCGTACCTCTCGGCGGCCAGGCTGGAGATGCGCTCGGACTGCAGGGCGGAGAGGGAGGAGTGCGAGAGCTCGGGGGGGTACCGGACCCCCGAGAGGTGCAGGTGCATGGCCGAGGGGTGCAGGGGTGGCAGCGAGCCCGGCGCTGGCAGCGGGTAGAAGGGCGACCGCAGCGCCGACAGGCAGTACGACTCGTCCATCCTGAGGAGACAAGGATGCTCAAGGAGGGGGAAAAA